AGTAGAGAAGCCGATTTGGCTCGAATCAAATATTATAGAAATGAACTTTATGGCCACATCACAGAAACAGCTGTTAGTGACAGTGATTTTGAGAAATACTGGAGTGAGATCTCAGAAGCGTTGTTGAGACTGGGCGGACCACATTTCAAATCATTTATTGAGAGAATGAAAGTTGAAAATATAGATCTAGATTTTACAACAGCTGTTGATGAAATCGCAGGAAAACATGAAGGTACAGTACTGCATCCAAGGCAGATGCTGTTTTTTTTTTTTTTTAAAAATAAAGGAATAATAAACTATTTATATTAAAATATTAATCTTGCCGGAACCAGTACAGCTTTCTGTTAATGAATATTGATTTATAGTAACCAAGAAACGATTATAAAAAGTAGGGATCGAAGGTCTTCAATGTGTGTATAAGAATACAGACTCCAACTTTGGGATCTAAAATTCTGGAGGGTGGGGAAGGGGGATGGGGGTTGGGGTGGATGATGGGAAATTAAGGAAGCCTAATACTTGCTTGCTTTTCTATCCGTTTATTTTATCCCCTTTCCTCCAAAAGAGGACTAGACCTATTTTGTGCAGCGCACACAAAGCATCAATCAACCATAGAAGGTGTCTGTTTGCATGTTCCTGAAACTTTTGTGGTTGGTATTAGTGGTATGATAGTATGATTCGAGCTCCTAGGTGCTTTGGGCGGAGACAGCGTGAGGAAAAGAGGGGATGAGGAGAGGAAGTAATGATAATGATCGCTAATCTTATAAATCTATTTTCCTTGTAGATGATACCATACCTAGTGAAATTTTCGCCCGCGGTCCAGAAGCACGGAAAGCGTATAAAGAAGCCCTTGAAAGCGGAAAAACAAAAAATCGGCGTTTACTTGTTATGGTAGTGGGACCGGCGCGCGCAGGAAAGACGAGCTTACTGAAATCATTAAACGGTAAACTACTCATAACTATATGAAAAATTCAATAAATAAGTTGCTTACAGATGAGAAGATAATAAGTAACTGAGGTGGTTAAGTCAATTAACTAATAAGTAAATTTTGAGTCAAAAAATTTATAAGGTTGGATACTTTCATGTACTTAATGCTACTTTTGTTCAATTACATTTTAAAGGAGAAGAGTTTGACCCAAAAGAAGACAGCACTGATGGGATTCAGCTGCAGCGCACATTTTGCAAGTCACAAGAAAACTGTTGGAGTAAGGAAAGTGACAAAGGAATCTCATACGCGGACTGCATGGCTGATATTATTCATAAAAATCTTCAAGGCGGAGATGACAGCGAAGAAATACACGATGAAAACTTTGAAAAGGAGTCGGTAGAATCCAGTAAAAGTCTCTTAAAGAATGATGACGATGATCGCGACGAGGATCACGATGATGTTGATAATGCGAATGATGATGATGACGCGCATGGTCATGATGATGACAAAATGAATGCGATTAAAGTCGAGTCTGAAGAAACGGATGAAGAAGCTAACGAAGAGCTGGAAGTCAAAGAATATATAAGCGAGAAAAGTACCGCAATTCTCCCAAAATTCATTGAAGAAAAAGTAATATTCAAGTTAAGGGATACCAAACTGAGTGATAAGACGAACCGAGAGAATGAAGTGTATATCAAATCGCTAGACTTTGCTGGTCAGGCTGTCTACAATGTCATCCATCCCATATTTCTAACTTCGAAAGCAGTTTTCATTCTAGTTTATAATTTGAAAAACATTCCACATCATCTCATGAAATCCATAGTCGAGGAAGATGGCGCAGAAAGAGAACTCGTAGATCCCTTTGAGATGACAAACATGGAAAATCTGGAGTTATGGTTGTCCTGCATTTCTTCCTATACAGATGCACAGAGAATGGCAAAAATAGGCGAATTGTCATTGCCTCCTGTATTCATAGCAGGGACTCACGCAGACAAATTTGACGGTAATCTTGAAGATGCAAAAGAGATTATCCGAAAAATATACAAATCTCTAAGTCCAAGCAAAAGACCATCTGGCTGTCATGTTGTGAGGAACCAAATCTACACGGTGAATAACAGAGTATCCGGTAATGGAGAAATAAACGATAAGTCCGTCAGAGAACTCAAGGCAGATATTGAAAAGTTGTCAAAGTCTCTTCCACATATGGATGAAGATATTCCTGTCAACTGGCTGTGGTTTGAAGAAGTGCTGTCAAACCTTGTAGAGAAGGAAAACAAGAAATACATCACAATCGATGAAGCTTTGAAGATAGCCAATAAGTGTAAGGTGAACACAAGTGCCGAATCCAAAGAGTTCCTCACCTTGTTAAACTATTTGCACGACTTGAAGACTGTTATCTACTTTGAGGAAACTAAGAAAGTATTCATTGATACGGAATGGCTGGTCAAAGTGTTTACAAAGGTCATCGAGGTCAGGCCGGTTGAGAAACGAGATGGCTTCGACGAGTCCTGGGATAAACTGGAAGAGAAAGGTGTCTTGGACAGAGCCTTGGTGGAACACGTATGGAAACGCTTAGTTGATGAACAAAACACAATTGATGCTCTTCTTTTAATTATGGAGAAATTCTCACTTATTTGTCGTTGGAATGCTAGCGAAGGAGAAGAAGTGTACCTTGTTCCATGCATGTTGTGTAACAGCAAGAAGCGAGAAGACATCGCGAAGTGTCTAGAACATGAGAAATCGTCAACGATGGTCATTCGTTTTAATATTTCCCATGTAGCGCTAGGTATATTTCCTAGGCTTTTTGTAGCTATTGCTGAAGAAGGAAAGAAAATATGGCCAAATCTACGACAACCAATACTTCACAAAAATATCTGCAGGTATCAATTTTAATATCAAAATTATTTCAGTTTACCCTAGAAAGATGTTCTTTTTCCAAAACTAAACTTATATTGTCCTTCTTCCTAAATTTCATTACTACATTTCCCTCCTCTGTGTCTTTCTTTCCCCCCTCTCTCTCAGATAAAGAACACTCTTGCACTGGGCAGCATGGGTGGCGTTCGCGGCTAACACGTCATCGTCGTTTCACCGCTGTGAGTCCAACGGGTCGGGTCGCTGGTTCGAGCCCTGCGGTCGCCACATGTAAATTGAATTTGGTTTGATGTGTTGTTCTCTCCTATGCTTTCAACATGTGAGTTGAGCGTTGTGTGCATAGGATATTAAATGAAATGGTAGTGCGTGTGAGCGAAAAATGTCCCCAATTAGTGCAAAAGCGCTAGAACGACTAGACACTTTAAAAAAATTATCTATTTTTTTTACTGTAGTCCAGTGAAAAATTAAACTTATCTTTTCCTAAGATTTTCACTATTTCAATATTAGGGCTAACTATTTTCAGTTTCTCTTTCTTCTTCACCGCTCTATCTCAGTTTAAGATCGTTCGTGAACTGTAGTCCATCGAAATAATAAAAGTTCTCTTTTCATAGGATTTCCAAGATTGGCAAAGAAAGAAAGCTTGATATCTGTATTATTCAGTCAAGCTTTCAAACAATCAGTGTAACAGTCTGCAACAAACAGAACATCGATGGGCAACGAGTCACTGAGTTCTGCCAGCACTTTCGTAAATTGCTTGATCAAGTCTTTGTTGACATGTGTCGAAACTTTCCTTGGATGCAAAACATGACATTCGAGTATGGAATACTCTGTCCTGTTTGTACAACCTCACCAAACAAATGCAAGTCTCACGAGATAGAGGGATGCACCCGGGATACGTGCCTTCACTTTGTGAACGAAGAAGAATTGAGCGTCGATACACCGGAGTGCGAGAAGGACGTTGCAAATCTAGATAACGTGATTGAGGAGAAGGCATATGTATACTGGTTCCCAAGACAAGTAAGTGATCTCATTACTTGATAGTAGTCAATGCTACGCACACTATCAAACTCTACTTTCAATACACCAGTTTCGAACTGTCTGTTGCTGGAGGTCAGCCTAGATTTTGTACAGGATATTCATGTGTTCCAATGAAGGTCCGTGGAATTTCAAAGTGTTTGTATTGTTGAAGTTGTGCATTCTTTACTTTACCGTTGGTATTTGTGAAAATTTGGACTCTGATACAAGGCTAACCCCGAGTAAATGAGTCTGTAATCAATGAACACAGCGGTTATTTGGAACTCAAAAACGGTCTATTACCGAAGCTTTCCGATAAATATTTTTGACCAAATGTTCATGTTGAGCCTATATGTGTATATAACATGACATTGCATCAAGCATGTCAGTCCCTTTTGTGTTACCAGTAAATAAAACCGCTCAAAGTAAGTAACAACGTTCCCTACAATCACTGTTATGGGATGGACCGCTCTCGGTAGAGCTACTCGGGATCTTTATTCTACTTTCTCTTCTTCTTTACTCTTCTTCTCTATCTGACTTAAACTAATTACATGAGCTCTATTTATAATAACTTCATGACATGTGTCATTCTACCATCAATATAATATTATCGCTGTGCCTTGATTGGCTAATGGAAATAGTAAATTCCTGAGTGTGATATCTTATTAAGGATAATACGAGTGAAAATCATAGAACTAAACATAACTTAAACTAAAGATATTATATGAGTATATGGTAAATGTATAGAAAGGTCTACGAGGAATAATTATATCATAAGATTTAAAAGAATAGTGGTAAAATAACTAAGCAAAGGGGTAAAGAGTGTTTAGGGTGTAACCATAGGTGTACATGCTAATGGGAGGAGCTAAGTAGTTTACTTGTAAATTCAAAGCATACCATTATCTAAACTTGCGTGATAGTAGCCTTACTGAAATCTTATATCGATATTTTCAATAACTAATTGATCGTTCTTTATCTTGTTTTCATACGATAAGAAATAGTAATTAGAAAAACTGATGTCTAGCTAAGTCTGTAAAAACATTAATTTTCTCTCTCATAACATCACCACCAATAGACCTTACCCTAATCCTAATGACGTTTCATTTTCAAAATCTCTTTTCAAATTAAAATGTTAAAACTCCTTTGAGAATACCAAGACAATAGTGAAAATTAACTTAACATAAAAGCTACAGAAAGGAATTCTGGAAGTGTAAGTATAAAGCGTAATCATGCTTGAGGACTACAGCTGACTAGCGAGTGACAGTAACAAGCCATATTTGAAGCAGATGATACTGAACGCTGGGATGTAATGCAATCTGCTTTCTTACAGTTCCCACTTTCTGTGCTTTATGGAATTCACTTAAAACATTTTGTACTCAAGTTATTTTCATGTCTTACAAACAGGTGGTAGGTCCAACGTTAGACTTCACTGAAAACCAGAAGCGATGGTTGGTGATTAGCATATGCTTGAACATTGTTCTTCTTCCACCTTTACGAAAGTTCCTAGAACGGAATATGCTGAAACACTACACTAAACTGAAGACCAGCTACAACATCCACAACCAAGTCCACGAAGGACGACTTGTTAATGACGCAGGCCAAGCATTGAAATATTGTAGTATAAACAACAATGGCACAAAGAATGTAAAAGACTACGACTACAATGTTACTTCTGCTATTGACTTGGCCAAGCTGTACTTGAAATCTCACATGGCTCAATTCACAGGTAAGTATATTCTTACTCGGTTCTTTAAAGTAATATGCTTTGATAGCCACTGCTACGGTACTATAATGCCAACTCATATCTGACTTTATATGCTGGAGACTCACGTGCCCTAAACAGAGGACAAAGGCCGTTCAACCATTGATGCAAAAGACACAATTGAATACCTTCCTTGTTTAATGATGGATAAAGACTCTTGGTCTCACGTTGTCAGTTCCATCTCGGTTGTAACCCAAAGATATGATGATGATGGTACTTGTCGAAAACTGACCTCTCGTGGGTCGTTGTATACTGTTTATTTTAGTATGACTTTTAATTAAAGTTGCCAACTTATCAAAAATTTTAAAAAATCAGGTTCAAAATATAATCAAAAAGCAGGTTCCGAATGCTGCAGTCTTACTGAAAGAGAACGCTATTTGGGGAATTAGACACATCAGATTCATAATGAGAATACTTCTTTTCTTTTTCTCTTCACTCTAGGATTCAATGATACTTGCGATCTATCTGCAGTCCTTGGTGTTCTTTCCTCTGCTAGTGTCTTTTCTGCTGACATTCAAGACTTCTCAAGTAAAGTACGAAAAGATGTAAGAAATGAATGGGCCCACCCTAACTTCCAGACCTGGGATGAAACAAAGTTTGCAGATTCCTTCAATCTAATGAATTCTCTCTTGAAAGCTCTGAAGCTGTCATCTGAAGATGAAAACACGGTAGCTGATCAACTGAAAGAATGGGAAAACAACTGTAAGTTTCAGAAACATACCTCTTTAGCTTTGGCGTAATATTTTCCCATTTCAGACCACGAGTCTGAATAAGAATAAGAATACTTTTTTGAAGTTGTGTTTTAATTCTTGTGCGGAAACGTAAAAGAAATGATACTCAAGGGAATGACACGTGGTATGGAATGGGAAACATTACGACCAAGGTAAAAAGGTCTCTTGCCCCTTTGATGTGTTTCCGTGCATTTTTTTATCGCTTAACAACGTGAGATTACAAGACAAGCTGCAATAAACAGTGCAAGTTGTAACACCGTAATACAGCCTTAAAACTTCTAATTCTTAGTATGATTATCATTTCGATTTATTTTCAGGCGTAGAAATCTGTATAGCCAACACAGTTCCACCAGAGTTGGTAAAGGATATCGAAGATAAAGTGTCCCAGTTATCTAGAGAATTCCAACTTGCTCTCCGTCGAAACGAAGAAAACGTTGCTCAGTTATCCGAAGATGTTAAACATCTGGCTATCAGTCAACAAGAAGAAGTCTGCAGAGTTCTCGAGACTTTGGTGACTGTGCAGGATGCTATTCGATCTCTAAACCAAAGGATGGGACTTAATGAGGTAGATGTGGAGAAGGTTAAGGAGGAAGTGAGGAAGCTTAAGGAGGAAGTGAAGAGGGCTCACGAAAGAATCGATTGTATACAGAAATAGATCTATATCGCATCTGATTGGCTAATTACATTGAGCCAATCCCCTATAGTGGAAAAGAAATCTTGGCGGACGTCAATCAAAGTGTTTGCATGACCTTTCCCCAGCGGAAAACACAAAGATTTGGTCAAGGACACGTGCCTATGGAAACGCCTTGATCAACATCCACTAAAAACTACTTTGTCGCGGCGACTACTCCGCGATAATGACTGTAACATTTATAATTAGACAGATGTTTTTTTAGATATTTGTAATCTATATTCATTGGGAATCCGTTTGAATAACGTTTAACGTGAAAGAGGGTCATACGAGAGTTTTTTCTCATCCTCTCTAAAGAAATTTCATTTGTAATATTTACATTTTACTTCAGAAGTTTCATGTAGCACTGTGTCTTCAACTTATTTCCTTCCTATGTCCTTTCATTATTATTAATATTTTTTTATAATTTCCCATCCGCTAGGCGAAATTGTGAGGCAATACAATTTAGTTGTGTCTTCATAGGCTTATGCTGAACAGAGATAAGTTAGWGTTACTTTAGTGCTATAAATACATGTATTATCAGTGAATATCACATGTATTATCAGTGAATATC